AGTCCAGGGTAATGCTTAGCTCTAGTAGCTACTAGCCCGCTTGACATTAACTGCCGCTTGCAAGCGGCAGTTAATGTAAGCGGCCTATAGTATTAGAGCTACGGGTATGCTAACCCTACTACCGTAGCATATACCGTTTCTTGAGCTAACTAGATACATAATAATGTAACCCAAACCCAAGAGGTATAGGTTACATTACATTACTTGTAATAGATACAGATACTGTAACCCCTAACCCTATCCTCTGGGTTTGGTTAGCATTATGTAATCTAGGAAGCTAACCAATGTAAGCATACAGATAGCACAATACTAATTACTAATAACAATAATAACCCAACGAGAGTAGGGTTACAGTCACTGGTCAGTGACTGTGAGTACTACATTAGTATTATGTATTACCTATTACTTATCAGATACTACTACACTACTAGTACTACGCACGATTTATTATCATTTCGTAGGTTTTGACTGATCATCAGGCCAGTCCTGTGCGTGGCCGCAGCCATCTTTTTAACGCTATACAACGTCAATTATTACGATCGACGTCAATTATTAATATTACTGTCAATGATCATTATGATAAACACCACACATAAACTTGTTAAGTGTGAGGAAAACACATATCTCTATTATGGCATATAATTTAAATATATCGAGAAGGTTTGGATTCAACGTAATTAATTTTTATGGGCCGAGTCGCGTATCGGCCGAGTCTGATTATGGCCCGAACTCGTAATGGCCGGTTCGGTCTATAGGCCGAATAGCCCCGCACCTTAATATATAGAGCTATGGCACGCTCCTGCAAGAAGCAGAAACCTTCACCTTCGGCGACGGCATGTGAGTCGAGTGGTGCGCACGGTTCGCCGCTGTAAGATTTGTTTGTTGTGAAGAATTTATATTGCTGGCGTTTGATGCACGCGCGTGCAGCGAACAACCGCTGATCGCTGTTAATTCAGAACCCACAGTAACATTAACACCGCTATGTAACTGTAAAGCTACAGTGTGTACTAATAACGCGTAATGTGTATCTGGTATACACGTAAACACGTAACACTAACGAGCGCCACACAGCAGTCACACCCAGCCAACAGCCAACAGAGCACTTGAAGCGTTTACAATAAAGCATATAATGCTAACTAAATACGGAAATCTATTTAGCCATACCAAATTCTTAGCTTAGTCGTATGTACTATAGCCCGCGTCACAGTTGCCGCAGGCCTGCCGCAACTAGTACGCGGGCTAATAATCTACTATATAGTACTAGTACTAGTAGAGCTCCAATCCTTTAAATGTTTCTATAACTCTTCACCTATTATGCCGACAGTTTCCTAATAAATTCCGTCCCAAATCCATGTGCAACAAACACTGACTGCCGGCCATTCCTCACGGTCTCCCACGCCGTCCCCGCCCGGCACGGCTGCAGTGTGCAGCACTGACACTTATAGTTAATATATATAGCAGTAAGGCAATTAAGCGGATCGCAAAAATTTGGCTCGACGCTAGCTTGATTTCAACACACTTTCAGCAGCACGAATACACTCGCAGCAGCTGTCCATCTTTATTGTTTCTATGCAAGAACAGTGTGTCACGTTGTTATATAAAACAACATGACTGTCCTGTTTTCGTAACCGAGCGTGTGTCCAACGCGAAATCACACCAAAGCCTGACGAAATTCTCGCGTTCGCCTCACCGTTGCGTGGCCAGTTTTATAGTAAATGGCTGTCGGAATCAGAAAACACCCACCGGTGATACGCTTCGTGACTCATTTTGCACCGGCAACGCTGAAAACGTTTTTGCAACGGCTCCCCCACTGGCGGCTTTGACCAGGGCTCGTACGGGAGTTGGAAAGCAGGTGTAGTTTCCCAAATGCAGTGCGCGCGCCTATAGCCCTGTACTTGCCAGAGCATTTACATTAAACTGCTGCAACTCGGAGTGGAGAGCTCGAACAACATGGAGTGGATGATTGAATGTTTTGTGTTATATTCGGATGAGAATCAAAGAGCGGATAATACCTAGATGTGTACAACGGAAAAATCGGGAAATAGTGCTATTTCACGACTACATTATTCTACTTTGTGCTAGTCTAGAATAATTTCATGGTATTGCATTAAGCAGAATTCTTTGCTCTCTAAAACAAGACCAACCGCTTGTCAATACGATACTCCTAGGCGGAGATATCGGCTCCTAAACCTCCCCTCCCACATGCCAAACGCCCGCTCGTATCCACTTCTGCCACTATCCTACACGCGGCTAAGCGTTTAGTCGTGAAATTTCGGTTATTTCCGTGATGACTTTATGAATGAGTGGCACTCGGGAGCCGTCGGTAGCCTTCGGGGGAACCGCTTCAGACTGGTTTTGTAAACACACAGCAAAAATCCTTCAGTCCTTTGTTTCGTCGTCGTCGAATGTATGAGATTGTGAATGTAATACTTATTTCATCAACATCGCTGATAAATATAAGGTAAGCGTCTTATAAATACAAATTATAGTTATAATAGTAACTTTTTATAGTCTGTAATCCGCGACTATAGACTATAGTCTAGAGTATAGTCTATAGAGCAGTCTTTACTCTTTACTTTAGTTCGTACTCGTAGTCTAGAGACTAGACTGTAGGCAGAACCTTAACACTTACAGTTAGGCCTACAACATTGTTTTGTTGATCTACCATTGGACTTTTGAGACTAATTCAAGTTTGGGACCCAGCAAATGTATTTCCGATTGTGTACTAAACTAAGATTGAGCCTGAGAATCTGATAAGTTCGAAACAGTATTATTTTAGCATACTAGTTACTACAGACACAGTACTCAGTAGGGCACGAAGGGTCGTTGTCGTAACAAACAGGTAGGGCCTACTACAGATATTAGCTCTAGTACTATAGCCCGCGGATCGCTGCCGCAGGCTATAGTACTAGAGCTATACAGATATGTACCCGAGGTAGTTTTAGGTTGTTTAGTATTATGTTTATATTTTTATATGAGGTAAGTTTAGGGTTAGGGTTAGAGTTAGGTATTTTCTTCCATCTTCTTACCGCGCTTTTCGTATCTGTGAAGTGGTAGCTCTTTCTATGCCCACAGTGAGTCTAAATCTGATAACAGAGCGAGACGCAGTGTCTGCATCACCATATCGTATAATAGACGGTGAGCGCGTTAGGAGAAGTTCTAAAGTCCCCCAATTCTTAAAACCGTATTCGTTTAGTACGTTTCGTCATTGAAAAGATGAAATGCATTATTTATTTCCCCGCGTCTCCGTCTGTCTCTCACAATGCTTGTAGAGTTTCAAGGCTGCGTGTGGGAGACTATACTGGTCGGGGTGACGTCGCTGTATTTAGCCGTCTTAAAGCTGTCTCTGCGAGCGCGAGGGGTGGGGAGAGATCGCCATATCCCAAACGCGCACTCCGCCGAGATATACGATTTCGTTTCAACTCTCGCGCTTTCAAGCGTTAAATCGAAAATCAGCGACGTTATTTAAGCCGTATCTCGGGTTAGTTTGCATAAGTCGGCGCGAACATGCACCCTTATCGCTGCGATCAAATCGATTTCATGTAAACTCGACGATCGCCGCCCGCGATCTTACGCGCTGCCATATTGTCGTTTACTGGCGTGTAGGCGCACGGAAAGGTTTTCCATATGGTCGTTTATTCAGCTGGAGTTGGAGTTGAGTTGAGTTAAAGCCGAATTCGATTTCTACGGAGTCACTATTTGATGTTTAGAATCGGGAAAGTGTGGATTAAATTCTGATTACGGTAACGTAACGAGATCGCTTAGGCCTTAAAGACTCCTTAGATGTACGCTAGGGTGAATTTCGTCCTCATCCTTTCCTCTCTATTCCTTCTTCCCTCTCTCCCTCCCTGCCTATCCCCTTCGCCCCTCTCCCTCCCTCTCGTTCCTTTTCTCTCCCACTTCTTTTTTCGCACTGTCTCTCGTTCGTTCTCATTCTTGTCTGTCTCTCTTTCACTCTCCCTGTCTTCATCCGTCCATTTTACTTCCAGAAGCCTTTGCTTTGAATATTTGCAAAAAGCTTGGGGCTCTTTACAACTGATTTCGAGAGCTAATTTCTATAATAAGTGGATGGCATCATTAATCAACATCCAACGTGTGCATGCGTGCGTGTGTGCTCGTGTGTGTGTATGCGTGCTGGGGCGAGTATGTTCGCGTGTGCGTGCGTGCGTGCATGTACGTGTGCTCGAATGTATATGCGCGCGTATGCTTGCTTGTAGCGCCGCGTGTATTCGCGCTTTCCGATTTCACTGTCGAGATTCGAATTTCATTTGCACCCGCCACTCGTCCCCCGCGACGCTATACATACCGACTGCGTGTAAGCGTTAACGTGAATTAACTAAGCGTGTGAATGAATTGTGATCACACGGGGTGCGGAGGGACACTACAATGGGCCGCGACGTGGGAGCGATGGGTGCGTGTGTACGATGCGGAGGCGAGGTGAACACGGCGAGCAATGTTCGGTGGTGTTCGTGAACGATGCGGAGGCGGGGTGAACACGGCGAGCAATATTCGGTGGTGTTCGTGAACGATGCGGAGGCGAGGTGAACACGGCGAGCAATGTTCGGTGGTGTTCGTGAACGATGCGGAGGCGAGGTGAGCACGGCGAGCAATGTTCGGTGGTGTTCGTGAACGATGCGGAGGCGAGGTGAACACGGCGAGCAATGTTCGGTGGTGTTCGTGAACGATGCGGAGGCGAGGTGAACACGGCGAGCAATGTTCGGTGGTGTTCGTGAACGATGCGGAGGCGAGGTGAGCACGGCGAGCCATGTTCGGTGGTGTTCGCGTA